GGGGGAGGGGGAGGTGGGTAGAATTAGGCCGTCCGTCCCCTCAGGCTAGAGCGAGGCGCGGAGGCGAAGGGAGTGGAAAAGAGAACGCTTCTCTGTCGCGTAAGAAGCAGAAACGCTCAAACGTGCGCTAGAAAACTGCTCAAGCCCTTTCGCGGAAACGCTCTCCTGCCCGAGTCCGAAAATACACGTGCGTTATAAAGTGCAGGAAGTCTGAAAAGCGTATATTAAAAAAGGCTGAAGAAGCACTTTTGTTGACAAGGGCTTCCGAGCAGACTGGTAGGGAGGACGTTGATCATGCCGAGTTTCTTGCTTAACTGCAGAGAGCGAAATGGGGTGAGGGGACTGAAATCTACGCAGTACTGACAGTAGCTTCCATCAGACTTTACTGATTTACTACTTAAAATGTATCACGTATGACTTAGTTAACATGAAGTTCTACTGTTTGGCATACGTAGTCTACTTTTATTTTATTTTTTAAACTTTGCTGTTCTCGCTGAGACAACAGATTATACAGAATATAAAGGAGTGCAATGAACAAAAGACAGCTCATGGACAGTGCAGTAGAACTAGTCTTAACGAATTAGAGATTGTGAACAGTACTACAAACAATACAGAATGTGAATTGCATTGCAAGGTATAAAATAATGCAGTGGGCTGCAATCCCCTTCCATTTTAAAGGTGTCTTCCTGACTCTTCCATTCTACTATGGTTCTGATCTTTTTAAAAAAAAAAAAAAACCAGTCCCTTGAAAACACTCTGCTTTTGCACATTCTGTGGAGTGATAGAAGAATGGGAGCCTTCCTGATCTCAGGCCCACCATTCCGTGTTTATGGAATTTAAAACTAAACTGTCATGTTTGGTGTAGTGGTTAAGTGTGCGGACTCTAATCTGGGAGAACAGGGTTTGATTCCCCACTCCTCCGCTTGCACCTGCTGATGTGACCTTGGGTCAGTCACAAGCTCTGGCACAGCTGTCCTTGAAAAAGAGCAGTTTGTGTCAGAGTTCTCTCAGCCACACCTACCTCACAGGGTGTCTGTTGTGGGGAGGGGAAGGGAAAGGAGTTTGTAAGCCGCTCTGAGACGCCAAGTGAGGACGGGGTATAAATCCAATCTCTTCTTCTTCTATAAGAAAAGTTACAAAACTACCCAATACTTGCGAATTGCAAACTGCTGTACCCTATGCTACCTGCACACTGTATCTTAATTTTTGTCATGCAAGAGAAAGGGGGGAAAGGTTGAAAGCAGAAAACAAATTATATGGTAAACAAAAACAGTCTTATTGGTTAGTAGTCTTACAGAATTGAGAGGACTACCAGAATATTTGGTTATCAAGTTAAGGGTTATAGCAGTGAAAACACTGATCTGTTTAATAATGTAGTATTATTGAACACATTACAGCATATTAATTGTTGCAAAAATGATTTACATTCAAACAAAAAGTATCCTTGAAAAGAATGTTGTGTATAGCTGTAGTGTATATACATATTATCATTATATAATTTATTTTATTTATTATAGTCTGCCTTTCTCACAGGAACTCAAGGTGGATTACACATTGTGAGTCAGTACAATCAACATGATATAATGATGTAAGAAATTTCATACTGTACGTTTTGAGTAAAACCTTGCTTTAAAACCATGTCACTAATTAACAAAGAAAAACAAATTCAAAGGTTTTTTTTCACTGCTTGCCAAAATTTCCCATTTCCCCCAAGGTCTGCACGCCTCTGTTCTGAGGAGTTTCCCCCATCCTTATTTGCTGATTCTCCACCCGCCTTTCTTGTTCACTTTATAATCTTAAGGATGTTTCATTCCAGGATTTCACAGTGGGTTAAATCAGTCATTCAATATGCAAAGTGCTGGACAAACTTGTTTATGTAATCATAAGCAAATATTTTCAGGTAATTCAAATAATGTTTACTTTAGACAATGGACGTGTTGAACAGTCCATTGAGTGTGAGTATTCAGGCGTCACTGCGGAAATTTTTCTTGGGCTAGTTGGAGGACTGACAAAAAAAATTTTTTAAAATAGTTGCATTCAGAGTTTATGGATATAAAAATGCAAGAAAAATCCTGATGTCTTGTTTTTAATCCATCAATCATATTTCCATACCAGCTTTTTCCCTAAGGAACTCAGGGTAGCATGCGGTGGTTCTTACTTCCTCTGTTTTATCTTTGCAACAGTGCATTGAGTCATACTCCCTAAGCCTCACCTACCTTATAGGATAGTTGTAAAGGCAAAATGGAGGAGGGGAGAGCCATGTTTCCTCCCTGAGCTACTCAGAGAAAAGGTTGGATAAAAATGTGATGGATATGATAAAGACAAATTTTGGTAGAAGTGTAAAAAACCCCACTTGCTACATATAACTATATTGTTGTAATGGTGCATTATATTAATGAAATCAAACTTATGTCCTTTTCATTGCAGAGAACCAGTTTGGTATAGTGGTTAGGAGCGCAAACTCTAATCTGAGAGAACTGGGTTTGATGTCCCACTCCTTCACATGCAGCTGCTGGTGTGACTTTGGGTCAATCATAAGTTCTCTCAGAGCTGTTCTCTCAAGGGCAGTTCTTGAGAGAGCTCTCTCAGCCCCACCTACCTCACAGGGTGTCTGTTGTGGGGAGGGGAAGGGAAAGGAGATTGTAAGCCACTCTGAGACTCCCTCAGGCAGTGAAGGGCAGGGTATAAATCCAATCTCTTCTTCATACTCTCTCTGCTTTCTGAAAAAAAGTTGCACTTTGCCTTGTTTTGCTCTCTGGATACATGAGAGGGAAAACCCTTGGATTTTAGATCAGTAAGTACAAAGTCTCTCACTAACTGCTTATTACCTCATTCGGTGTTGTCTTTAGAAGGAACTTTCCCACCAGTGGACTAAACGGGGGCCACTTCACTCCCCCTTGATCAAGCTTTGCAGCTCTTCCTCAGTTCTTTGCAGGGAAAGAGGCTACGTGCCATCCTCCTGGATTCTGATTAGGGCCTGCTGTTTTGTTTTGTCCTTGATGGAGTGGTGTTCAGGGCATGGTGCCACTGCTATATCTGCTTCCATGTGCCTCTAAGCAAACAGTGGAAAGCTTACCTGGGTTGGATGTATCCCACCAGCTGTAGTTCATACATCCCTGGGCCAAGACATAATGAGGCTATCCCTGCTGTTTTAAAGGAGGCAGCCACAAATCTCCTTCTGGGGGGAAAAAACTAGCAGTTGTCATACTTGTTGGTCAGTCCACATGCTTCCCTTTCTTGGACCCCAGTGGGTCATGGTAGAGTAGCTCCAGATATTCTTGCAATAGTACTGATGGGTTTTCTAGACCCATTTCAGTCAGACTTTCAGTCTAATGTTTGCTATGCCAATGGCATGGCGATTGCAGTAAAGCACAAATTGATTGAAAGGACTGAGAAAATACTGACTAGGGAGTAAAATGGCAGCTCATTCCAAGTCCTGGAAAAACAGAATGCTTCTGTTTCCATCTCAATAACAATCTTGCCAGCCGTGAACTGAATGACTGTTTGCTCAATTTCATGTTTGTTGCATCGATGACACTGTCTAACCATCTCATCCTTTGCCGTCCCCGTCTTCTTTGACCTTCAATCTTTCCCAGCATCAGGGTTTTCTCTAGTGAGTGCTCCCTTCTCATTTGGTGGCCAAAGTATTTGAGCTTCAGTTTCATTATCTGGCCTTCCAGGGAACAGTCAGGGTTGATTTCTTTTAGGATTGACTGATTTGATCTTCTTGCAGTCCAAGGGACTCTCAAGAGTCTTCTCCAGCATCATAGTTCAAAAGAATCTATTCTTCGGCGCTCAGCCTTCCTTATAGTCCAACTCTTGCAGCCATACATGACTACTGGGAAGTAGATGTTTTTCTGTTACTCTCTTCACAATTGTTCAAATTTGGTATTTAAGGGGCAGGGGGACTAAGATGTCACTTTATGAGGGGGAGGGAATTATACGTGGGAAATGCATGAAGATTTTAATACCAGTACATTCGAGGTGAAAAGTGAAATGAAATACAACTTGCTTGATGGTATGAAAGAAGTTTGTCAACATTGCACCTATTGGAAGAGAGTATAACTACTATTACAGCAATTGCTTAAAATATCAGATCCTATTATACAGGAAATAGACAAAAATGCATTGGCTGTCATGTGTGAGAACAATTTTTTAGAATAAGGGCCACTTTGGAACCATGGAGTCTAAAATAAGAACCAACCTTTATGTTCTACATTGGTGCGTGTAACACAGAACTCTTCTTATGTTCTTTAGGGTGAAGATAATCCAGAACAAGGGAGAGCTGGCATCCTGAGCTGAGATCCATTCCTAGTTAAATGCTGAGCTGCTATGATGTTGCACAGTATTTTACAGATATTCTTGGAGCCAGTGCAGATGTTACTACAATTTATTAACTGCTGTCTATAACTGCTCCTCTGAGTGAGCTACTGTCATGAGATGAGAAGAAACACAACAGATTGCCGTGGCTTCTTCCATGACAAGAAATCTCTCATGGTATATTTTGTGTGTCCTTGTTTTCAACACTAAACCTATATATTGAAAAAGAAATGAAAATCTTAAAAAATAACATCTGCAGCACAGCTAATGGCAAAGGGTCAGCCACAGAATGTTGGCCAGTAGTGCAAGCTACTTGGTGAAAAGCAGTTTATTCATTTTATTTGGGGTGGAGAAAAATACCAAAAGGCAGACAGGAAGAGGTCTAGGCTAAAGCTGTATTTGTTCCTAAAAATGTTAAGGCTGAGGGGGGGGACCAGAAAAAAAATTAGAACCCCCTTCACCTTCCCCTTCAAGGTTTTTTTTGTGAGATTTAGTGGATTGCTGGAAAAGAGAGCCTATGTTTTTTATCCCATCTGCATACAGTAAAATGTTTCAAGACAAGGTTTTACTTACTCAAATTGTATAGCATTGAACATTTTACTGTAAGAAAATCTACAGCATTAGATATCAGTAATTCCTGTGTATACGATGTAGTAATAGTATACTTTCAAGGATATGTTCATTGTTTAAATGTGAATTAATTTAGACAGCTGTAATATGCTGTAAAATGTTTGATAAATTATAAAAAATTGTGTTTTCAATGTTATACGTTTTAACTTGATATGCAAATATGCCAGTAGTCCTACCTGTTGTGACTGTAAGGGACTGTTCTAGTTCAAATAATACTTTATTTTATATACTACAATATTGGTTTTTTTCATTTCAACTTTTATTATTTCCTCTCTTTTAGATAGCTAAACATAAGATATATGTACTAAGGTAGCATAGTGTGTGTGGCTATATTTGCAGTTTTGCTTGTAGAAAACTAAGGCATTTTATACTCTTAAATTCCATAAATGTGGTAATTAGTACAATTTGATATGCTAAATTACAAATGTTGCATTTGGTGTTGTTTAAAGTGGGAAATTAAATTTAGGTTTGGTAGGAAAGCAAGTATTGCATATGTTTCAGTTTTCTCCAAAATTTTCCTTAAAAAGATTCTATGGCTTCAGAATTTCTGGAAATAGTACATCTCTGTCCCTCTAGTTCTAGTTCCCCTGCCCTACTTCAGGCATTAATTGTGTGCAAAGATGCTGGTAGACAGTAGTAGATGATTAAATATTCTTTGATTTAATATAATTTCAGCTTTTTTTAACCTTGCTATTTCTACATACAAGGTTTTTCTTCTTTTTTCAACTTCTTTCGTTACCTAGACAGGTAATAGACAACATCCTAAGAATTTACTTTAAATCCTGTTGGTTTACCCCACAGATGGCCTTGAAGAGACCTCACTGGAGAACGGAAGAAGAAAAATGTCCCAACTAACTTTTACAGGTAGCAGTTTTCTAGTATACATTTGCATACCTTTATGTGAAGCAGCAGAAGTCGTTTGGGACAAAATGATTATCATTTGTTATTGAAATAATGTGTGTGTTAATTTTACATGACTTAGGTGCCACTTGCTTATAGCCCATACGCAAGTATGAATTTGCTCTGCAGTTGTGATGCTTCTGCTTTCTTTGTGAAGCAAAACAGGTGCTGGGAAGACCAGAATTACCACTCAGGACCTGGACCCTTCATACCACCTCCTTGCTACTTACCTGCCAGCTTTTTATAGCTTAGTAATTTTTATGCAGACATGTTGATATGGAGGGATCGATAGTCTTATTAGGTTATTTCTGTCCCTTACCATCTTGATTCTGATCTGATAGTAAGAAGGAACCTCAATATGTGGTGCTGATTGGGTCTTGTCAGGCAGGTGGAGTTGTATGGAGCAGTGTAAGCCCTAAGCTGCGAAGGGCTTTAAATCTTAGTACCAGAACCTTGTTTTGAACCCAACAGCAAATGGGTAGCAGTTGCTGAAGCACCGATTGAATAGATCAGGATGGCAAGATCAGAGCCATCTAGGAGAGGTAAGAGCCTCTGTTCAAGCTAAAAAGAGATAAGAACATTTAGCCACATTGGGCTTTACTAACAGTCCCAAAGGAGTAGATGTAGCAGCCCACGGCATTAGAAATAAACTGAGGATCTTCAACGTGGTCTCTGTGCTTCACACCCATGGGATCTAGTGCGCACGCGCTGGATCGATCGGTGCTTTAGCAAGCTCTTTTAACGGATTTTCGCGCCCAGTCCCTCGGGCATGCGCAGGAACCCCACCACGCATGCCCAGAGGGGTGGGCGCGGACATCCCGCCAGTTCTTTCTTACCGCCACGTTGAGTAGACCTCTTTTTCGTTGGTCAGATCGGTTCGCTTCTAGCTATTCGCCTCAGCTCTTAGGAATTATTTCCTTACTCTATTTTTCTTTTTCAGTTGTTTGTTCTTCGTAAAAGTTAAAAACAATTTTTTTAAAATTTTCTCTTGAGGGGGAGTTTACCGATTACCTCAGGCCTTCGGGCTACCCCCCCCCCTCAACGTTCCCTCTTCTTTGCTTCTTTTATGAAGAAGAAGTGGGGGTTTTCCCCAACAGGTGCAAGGGTTGCGGCAGCAAACTTACTCCTCCTGACCGTAATACCCTCTGCATTTTTTGCCTCGGAGAGTCTCACCAGCCAGAGTCCTGTTGTCACTGTGCGCGTTTCTCCAATCAAACACGAAAAAACTGCTGTGCGCCTTGTTACCATGTGACCATTTGCATTTGCATATTGCCTGTATTGTGCTTATGATATGTTGCTTGCATGTATATGTATCTGTGCCTTTGAGAGCCTGAGGCTCATTGCTGTGTGTGTGTGTGTGTGTTGCCATGGACTACGATGGCAGGCCTTGCACCCCGAGGCTGCCCACGGTGGGGGCCTGACAGGGATGCCTGCCACCAAGCTTTTGCCTGCCATGGAAATTTCCACTGCACCCTGGTCAAAAGCAGATGCCTGCTCTGGAATGTTGCAATGTGCCCCAGTACCTACGAGGTCACCATTTGGGGTACA